CCCCGTGTTTGTGTTCATTTTACTATTACAGAAGATTGTTTTCGGAAGATAGCTTCCAAGTTTCAAACATGCCGGTTTGAATTCTTCCCCCCATGAAAAGCTCGGCATTTACACTACTGTATATATCCATGTTTACATTTGTTATTTTTCTTTCGCTTTTCTCTTGCGAAAACCCAGTTGCATAATTAATTTGATTAGTTTCGAGATTCCAACGTACTCTCATTCTCTCTAGCGCAGCTCTGTGAACATTCGTTAATGGAAATTCGATGACAGTTAATTGTAAATTAACGCATTTTCAGCCATCTCTTTTGTTGAACTAATATATGATCGATAACAACAACTTTACTAATTAATTAAGAAGCACTTGAAAATTTCAAAGTTGAGAAACTAGTTAAGGTAATTGTATTATTCAAGTCCGTCGGCTCTGCGCATTTTGAACATATGAATATAATATATTATAATTAGGATCGAGGACTCTGCATTCAAATATAAGTAATTTCAATATTTTCTCGACATCATATTGCAGACAGAGCCTCTAGTCAATGCTGTAACATTGTATTGATTATATAAATATGACCAGGAAAAACAAGCTGGCCTATCTGTTTTCATTTTTCTTTATTAGCTTCCTAGCAATGCATGCTATATTATTATACAAGTAAAGAATTGTCTCATAATCAAGCTAACTGCTGATATCATTTTTATATATGCAATAAAACGCGCCTGTGAAATAAGATTCTTGTAGGAAAATTTTTACCAAAGAAAAAAAATATGAGAGAATTATCAAGAGGTCCTAATAAAAAATTTAATTACCAAAAAATTCTAACAACAAGTAATCAGCTTGAACATGTTGTCATTCTCTATTCTAGAACTTGTCATTGCTTACTCTTCACTTATTAATAAAATTTAAGATAATTAAGTTATTTTCTTGGGACCTAATTGTAATTTTCTCAAAAAAAGATTCTTATAAGAAATTTATTCAACAATATATATGAGCTATGCCAAAAATTATTTTTCACACATATATGCTACTTCTTATCAGTCAGATACTTTTGCTATATTAAACTTGTCTCGCTAACGTCTTAACTAATAATTTAGAAAAAAAACTTGGTTTTGCTGTAATCTTTTCTTAAAGAAAGGAATCTTATTCTTCAATTCCGTATTAATCTCGCGCATTTGCAATTGGCCGAGTCAAAGGCAGTTTTAAATCCACCCCGCTTTTTTTTTTTTGGGGGGGGGGCAATAAAAGGCAGTGGAACGGTATAATAAACTTTGTTAAGTAATTAAAATTCACAAGTCTTAAAAGACAGTTTTAAGTCAGAGTCCGTGGAATCTGTTTTCTGGGAGTCAATAGAGTCCGTGGAATTAAATGCTCATGTTTGAATTTAAGGCTAGGATGTGTTACTGCCTCAAATTCCGCACGACGCGAATGTTAGCAGACATGTTTGGCTTCGAGCATACCGAATCCCGCTGATATTTTCTGTACGGGATTTGGAATAGTCAGAGGAGTCAACAAGTCTCGGCGAAGCAGGCAAGTGTATATCTTCATTTTCTAATTCCATTTTTGATATAAACGTAATTAACTATCTTAAGTAATTGAAAATTCACACGTTTTGAATTTGAGCACCAAACAGTCCAGCACTTAGAAGTGGCGCACACCTGAATTGGCAACTTCAACTGCTCATAAGTTCTTCCCTTCCCTCCTTATTTTCTATATATGCCATAATTTTATTTGTCCTTTTAGTTGAATAAAATGAAGAGAACGTTAATTTCTTGCCATCCATTTTTTATATTGTTTTCGCCCCCTCTTCTTAAAGGTTCTAGAAACGGTACGAATTTGATTTGGACTTATCTTCTGTAAATTTCGTAGCAGGATTACAGGATTGTATATATTTATTTGTTTGAGAATTTAAAAAAAAAGAAGAAGAAAAATAAAAGGAAAGTATAAAAAAAAAAAGAAGGAAAATGAGGGGAATGAGAATGACTAGCTGGATGTGTGGACCATAATGTTCTTGTTTTTTTTTTTTTGGGGTGATATCAAGACGGAAGTCAAAACGGGAAAGCAAATTTAACATGTTTAGTACTAAAACTAAGGAAAAGTCACATGTGTGTCTCAAATAAAAAAAGCTAATTACTGACAAATCGTAACCACTTGTAAACATAATGAGACTGAATAGATAATTAATTTTTATTTACGATTTGATTGTAGTTTTTCTTAAAACTAACCCTTTCTAATGATGGTTTACCACGGCGGCCAGTATTTAAATTTGTTTTGATTATGATATTCAAATGAGTTGAATTTATTTCACATTCTTCAATATTTTTATTTATCCACTAAAATCATCACCTTTCCCCCAAAAAATTGTTCCCCGGCTGTCGGTGCCACCCAACCAACGCATGGAAAGCGAAAACGTCGTGTTTTTCTCAAATATTCACATATTGCAACTTTTTAAAAATATACCCGTAACTCGATCAGCCATTTGTTCACTAATTCGTGGCGTTGTTTATATCCAAGTATTATTGTAGCATTTATAAAAAAAACGTGTTATTGTAGCAGAGCCGACAAAAAAAAACCACCACTGTCGCAACACTCAAAAAATATTTCAAGTGAAAGATGAAAGGAGGAAAAACCGAAAACTTCAGTTTGGACGTGGGAAGGCCTGTAAGTACAAGCGTTTTGCCTCTGTGGGTAGCCCGGGCTTGAGCATTTTATTTCAGCGACCAGTTCGCTTTTCTGGTTTGCCATGTAAACTGTTTAAAATGGTTTGGGCCGATCGGCCGATCGTTGTTATTGGGAACATGTTGGACTAAAGATTTGGTATTTGGATTTGTATCCTCAACTTTTTAAATACTACAAAAACCATTCGAAGTCTGAATTGGGAAGATGGCAAAAAAAAAAAAACCCAGTGAAATAAAAAAAGTTATTGTCAAAATCATGTTATTGTTGTTAAAATCCATGCTAATATTGTCATGGGTCCTTATTTTCAATTTTTTTTTATTCCAATGGTCTTTTTTTTACCATATTCCCTTCTTAATTTCTGATTTCTCCCCATAAGGTTTTAACTATGCTCACGGTGGATTGTTACAAACAGATTGAATCGGTATTGGGATCACGCATACATATAGAGTAAGCCTCATGGGCCATGGCCCATGGCCCATAGAAGGGGAGAAACATCGAATCTCATGTGCGACTCACATCCTGACTCAGCTCTTCGGCCTTCATGGGAAATTTTGGTTGCATAATCAATGCATGACGGGGAAAATATACAGTTACGTCGTATGAACGAAAGCTTTCATGTCACTGGGAATTAGGTTTAACAGGAGAAACTAATTCCTCACAATATGACAAACTAAGGTTTGAATTTCTGCTAGAAGAGGTGCTTATATTTAGTGTTTGATAGTGTCTCAAATAGGATTATTTTTAATAGGAGGATACCTATACTTTAGTGAGAAAAAAAAAGAAAGCTTTCATATCCCGAGAAGAGAAGGAAAAAAATAGGCGCATTAATTAAAAAAAAATCAGATAATAAATTAATTTTAGTTGTTTATTTTAACTTAAAAATCTGGATTAGTTTTAACCTTAATATTATGCAAAAACAAAGTATAGTTGTTAAATGTTTATAATTTTAGAGAAAATCACTTTTAATTATAATATTATTCTTTTACAACAATACATTTGGAATGAAATTAAATTTGTTATTTCTGTGGATAAATGAAATCATTTTCTTAAAATTTTTGTGTGCAATAATATCGAACCAAATACAGTGCCATTTCTCCTGTTCTTAATATAGGACCTAATTATTAAGTTAATTTTGGTCATAAATATAAGACCTATTTCTCACTTTTATTAATTTTTCTTAAATTACCATTATCGATACTTCTTTAACCATAATCAAGTAAATGAGGGAGGGAAAATATTAAGAAAGATGATTATGGTGTTTTAGAAAAAATATTTCATATTTTTTATAATTAATTAACTTATATAATTTTTTTAATCTAATTAAATTAATTAAATAAGTTTTATATTAAAAATCATGTGAGTATTTTTTTTGTAATAACAAACTGACGAGTCTAGCAGTAAACATGGGCCGCGTTTGCTATTTTGGTGAGAAACATGGGCTGCCATTTAAAAGACAAGTGAGTTTTCGCACACCCGTTTTAATATTCTTCAAAATTTATTAAATATGAATTATTCATATCTCATTTATCTGATTCAGATTTAATTTTTTTATTTTTAGTTACTCAAAATAATTATTTTAATATGTATAGAATCTAAAATAGAAATAATCTCTTAACTATTATTCTTTTAAAAAATATTTTTTATTTAAAAATATTTATAATCTTAGAGGACAAGTGAGTTTTTCCCACACTCATGCCCACACCTGAATCAGTTTCAATACTTGTTATTTTAATAAGCATTATATTTTTTTTGACCAGATTAATAAGCATTATAAATTCATCAAATTTAAATTATTCATATCTCGTTTAGATGGTTTAAGTTTAATTTTTTATTTTTATTTATTCAAAATAATTATTTTAATATGTATAAAATTTGAAATATAGATAATTTTTTAACTATCATTCTTTCAAAAAATATTTTTTATTTAAAAATAATTAATTAAAAAATTTTAAATTTAAACTGTTCTCCACTTTTCATCTCTGTCTAATATCCAACTGACACGTGGCCAACTGTCAGCGCCCTTCTTCCCAACCGTCCTCGCTGGCCCTCACAGCTCTCAAGTGTTCCTTGAAAATGGAAGATAAAATTATAAAGTTTTTTAGCTTTCTTTCTTTTACGAGTGGGAGATCGTTTTATTAGAAGGAAGAAAAACAAAAGTGACATTCATGGCCGACGACAATTACAGCGTTACGAGGCTTCCGGTGGGCCACTTCACTTTTTTGCTTGCTCCACGTCCCCACCCAAACCTCCAAAAGGCACTCTCATTTTCTCACCCACCTCTTTTTTGATACGATTCTCACCAGTCACCCGCCTCTTTACTCCGTCATTTCTTTTTGGAGAGTTTTTCTTTTGAGCTTTGTCAACGTTTTATGCCTCTCAAAGTTCTCACTTCTTCTCCTTTTTCTAGTCTTCTGCCTTACTCTGCACTCCATCGTTCTTTCCTCCCCACGAGATTCTACTTCCCCTTTGCTCCCTCAGATCAGAATCTCCATTTTCACATCTGTTTGGATTTCGTGGTTTTATTTTGCTGGAATCATACGCATTTATCCGCTGCTGCCGATATGAGCTCGGCAGAAGGCAATACGGGGGAGTCTGTGAGTTGGAAGGAGTGTATCACGGAGTTCATTAAAGGTGCGACGGAGATGGCAGTGGAGTGTGGGAAAGGTTGCAGGGATATCGTGAGGCAGAGCTTGGTGAACGAGGATTCGTATGTAGCGAGAAAATTTGGAAGGGATTCTTATTTTACTAAGAGGGTAAGAGGACCCTGTGAAAAGTTATGCGGGAAATTGAGTTTCTTCAACGAGTACTTGCCGGAGGATAAGGATCCGCTTCACGCATGGTCGGTGATATTCTTTGTTTCGTTGATCGCCTTTGCAGGTGGAGTTGAATATCATATTTTCTTGTTAAACATTTATGTGTCATTTTGGGGCTGAGGATTTGAAGAGTGGCATTGTTAAAATTGTGGATTCTTTATGGGGTCACTTGAGAAGTGGACTAGTGGGATAGGAGGAGGGAAGTGGGAGTGTTAACTGAGATGAGAACCTTTATTTTCTTTCCCATAAATTGCGATATGTGCTCCTTTGCTATAGACTAGATCAAAACATGATGGTTTGCTGTATATTTCTTTTCTTTTTAAACGAAATATTGATATACCTTGTTGTTTCAGTCATTCTAGTAAAGGTGTTTGTTCTCTTGTAATCCTCATAATTATTCACTGGAGTCGCTTATAAAAGCATAGCGTCCTTGCCGCTAAACCTCTCAATGACTGATTACCTGATTTTATTTGCAGCTGTATATGTAAATTTTGAGCATGATCCATCTGCTGGTTCCATCCCATTGACGAAGCAAACATTTGTACATCCTCCTAGCGCTAGCCGAATAGTGCTTCCAGATGGTAGATACATGGCATACAAGGAACGAGGTGTTCCACCTGATAGAGCTAGATTTTCAATTATTGCTCCTCACACTTTTCTTTCCTCCCGGCTTGCAGGTTTTTTCTAAGTTGTGATTGAATCAAATTTTGATGTCAAACTGTTATTTATGCATAAACAGCCAGTTCCACTTGTGTCTTCCATCTCTAATTTTAGGAATACCTGGAGTTAAAAATTCCCTGCTTGAAGAGTTTGGCATTCACTTGTTGACCTATGATCTTCCTGGTTTTGGCGAGAGTGATCCTCACCCCAACAGAAATCTGGAATCCTCAGCAACAGATATGTCTTTTCTAGCAGATGCTTTGGGTGTTAAGAAGTTCTGGGTTGTTGGTTACTCAAGTGGAAGCATGCATGCTTGGGCTGCGCTGAGATACATTCCCGATAGACTGGCAGGTATTAATAGCTCTTTTATCTGACTTGCTCTCTGTTTTACTTATTTCTGTACACAGTCTTATGGATCATCTTGACTTCATGGAAATTGGAGCTTTGATAGTCTGTCAATGTCCAAATAGTTATGCTTTGATGTTCCTCTGTCACATTGTCTCATGGGCATGTATTCTTTCTTCGCCTACTGGAACACATGCATAATGTTGTGTGAAGTGCAACTGAAGTTCACATGGTTACGAGCCAGACTGTCCGTAAATTTTTTGGTGATGGAGGAATTATTTCTTCAAAATCCAATTTTATGCAATTGTAGCTTCCAGCACCAAATTAGCACCTTTTTCCCCAGTTATTATTTTGAACAAGAACAAACTTCTGATTTTTGTTAATTTTGAATGAAAAACATATCTAAATTTCTGTTATCATACACGACCATTTGTGTCATGTCAGCACAAAGTTGTTCTTAGTGAAAAAGCGTCTGGTTAATGTGCCATACATGTTGGTCTTGATCTTTCAAGTAGTAACTTGCAGGTGCAGCAATGTTTGCTCCCATGATGAACCCATATGATCCCATCATGACAAAGGAAGAGAGGCGAAAAACTTGGGGGAAATGGAACAGGAAAAGAAAATTCATGTACTTTTTAGCTCGGAGTTTTCCTAGGCTTCTTGCTTTCTTCTATCAGCGAAGCTTTCTGTCGGGAAAGCATGGCCAGATTGACAGGTGGTTGTCGTTATCCCTTGGAGAGAGGGTGAGTTGAACTTGTTTTCTTTCCCTCTTTTGTCTATGAGTAGATTTGATATTTATATGACAAGAAATGTTTAGTTTTTCCATATTGCCCCCACCATCTTTCACCTATATCCCAGGCTTCCAACAATACTTCACCCTAAAAATAAATAAACGTTGTGATATTTTAAAAAGTAATGATGTGGCTGATTCTGATGAGATTAGGGAAGGACATCTGCAGAGAACATACTGAAGATGGAAGGAAAACTTGCACTCAGAGCACATACAGCACATACTTCAGAAGGCTTAGATCTAGTCGTACATGTGGGATGCACACATTAAGGGTGATCCTAGCTGTCTGGAGTATGTGTTGTGGGTACGCTTAATAATTTCTCAGATAAAGGGGCTTTGTGTGACTGCTGGAAATTGTTGCCATGTTTAAATATGATTCATGTCTGTTCACTTGGTGCTATTGTGCAAGTTTAAAGCACATACTGGCATTAAAGGACCCAAGCTCATGAAGCTATAGGTGATCCTATGTCATGATATCATGATATTTGCAAAAGCAGGTCTCGATGGTTGTTGTACAGGAGTTTCGAGATTTTACTTGTATATTCCATCATGAAAGATTTCAATGTCCCTTCCAGGATAAATAACTAATGGAAGATTCTACCATATGCAATTTTAATGCATATGCTATCATTTGCACGTCCTTTAATCAGAGCCCAAGCTCATCAAGCTAATCTGATCAGTTATTTTAAAGTTCACAGAAACGGGTCCAAATATGTTTGACCAAAAGAAAGAGATTTTGCTTATGCATCCCATCATGAAAGATTTTAATTTCCCTTCTAGGATAAAGCACTAATGGAAGATCCAGTCTATGAGGAATTCTGGCAAAGGGACGTGGAAGAGTCAATCAGGCAAGGAAATGTGAAACCCTTCGTTGAGGAATCTGCTTTGCAGGTCTCGAATTGGGGTTTCAGCCTTGTAGACCTCAAGTTGCAGAAAAGAAAACGGAGACATAATGTGTTCAGTTGGCTCAAGTCAATATTCATAGCTGAACAAGAGGAGTATATGGGTTTTCTTGGCCCAATACATATATGGCAGGTTAGCACATCTTTATTTGATTCCCTTCCTCCCCTCCCCTCCTACTGCTTATAATACAGTATGACTTTATGCATCTCTTCTCTGCGTTTCTAATATTTTTTTCTTTTGGGGTAACGTATCTTGTTTTTATTTTATTACTTTTCAAGTATACTACATTCGTTTTTATGAACGTAGAAGATTGATATTGGTGATTTTGCTTTAGTCATGTTTGGACCAGCATATGACTTGTGCTATTTCAATGCAATGTGAACAGGGAATGGAGGATAAAGTGGTTCCTCCGTCGATGACTGATTTTGTGCACCGCGTCCTCCCGGGAGCTGCAGTGCATAAACTACCATACGAAGGCCACTTTACCTACATCTACTTCTGTGATGAATGCCACAGGCAGATATTTACTACGCTTTTTGGAACCCCGCAAGGACCCGTCAGCATTACACTTGATCAAACTGTCTTACATGTCCGTATTGAACAGTCAGAAGAAGTAGCAGCAGACGCCGGTGACTCCACCGTGGATTAAAAGGTCAAATAAGGGGTGACAATGCGCTTTCTTCCCTTTCCATTAGAACATAATTTACGATGTATATATCATTTAGTTCTGTTTCATCGCCAATGGAGCCGTATAGAAGAGAAAAATAAACGCATTATCGCCCCTTTCCTTTGGGCTGTTGAACTAATCTGTTGTTCAAAAATACTGTATAATGCCCTTCAAAGAACTCCCATGATGCCGTAATCCCGTTTTCGTTATCTGCAACCCAGAAGGGGAACTTTTTGCCGAAGTCATCTCAAAGAACTCGCATGAAAATTGACATGGCACAAACTTCTTACACTGTGGTGACATGGTTTCTTCGCACGCTAGTTTCCAATGCTTGAAGCCTGGAGAGCAGGTGCGTTGCTCAACATATCACCCGACGGGATAAGGGCCAAGAACACAATGCCACATTGCTCCATCACCACCCCATCTTACTCTCAATCTACTGGCCGTGAATTGCTTTCATAGGATGGACAGATTAAATTCATCTTTTTACATTATTATTTAAATGTAATAAAAGATAATTTTATTAAAATAATATATTTCACGTGTTTATTTATTACTTTTTTCCTATTTATAAATCACTTACTTGTATCCGGGGTTTGCAAACTCAAAAATATATTAAATTGATAATTTTTTTTCACATATGTCGTTATCAAAAAGGTATTAAAACTATGTTTTATATTTTTTTCTCACCTATTTACTTTGTCTTTCTACATATTTATTAAGTCAACATGGATGGAATAAAAGAAAACTTATTAATTCCTACAAGTGACTTATATCTAGGATTTTTTTTCTGCAAATGATTTATAAATAGAAATAGGATGGCCCATAGTTGTTTTGTATATATATAAAAAAGAAAAAAAGAGTGGCATGTAGATGTAAGATTTATTTATTAAACATAAGTTTATTTAGGAAATTTAGGATATTTTTTTTGGTAAAAGGGGAAAAATGTGACGTCAGTACTTGCACTGATAACCCTTTAACAATTATGATTATTTTCTTCACAAAAATATTATTGATAATTTGTTTAATTTACTTATGAGAAAAATAATGTTATAAGGAATTTGAATATTTTATAAAATAACCAAGAAACATTATTGATAATTTGTTTGATTTACTCATGAGAAAAATAATGTTATAAGGAATTTAAATATTTTATAAAATAACCAAGAAACATTATTGATAATTTGTTTAATTTACTTATGAGAAAAATAATGTTATAAGGAATTTAAATATTTTATAAAATAACCAGGATATCAAATATAAATTTATTACTCTTCATTTAGATTCAAAATAAAATCAGTCACAACTAACTAGCCATTTATGCAATTGCAACGATAGTAGGAGTAAGTAACAAAAGGGAAAGCAGTGCCCCCTGCTCTTAAATCAATTTTTTTTTCCTTTTGATACAAGAATGAAAACAATATTTGTCATGAATATTATAATATGTGGATGTCCATATCCTCTTCTTCCTCTTCCTCTTCCTCTCAACTTCATCATCAACTCCCATGAATGTGAATGGAGGTGAGTTACAAGAGTGAATGGGTAGTGGAGGAGTAATGGATGGTGGAGGTAGTGGAAGTTACTTGGAGAAGATGAAGAGGATATGGACATCCACATATTATAATATTCATAACACTCCCCCTTGGATGTCCATTATCTAAGATATGTGCCTCATTAAAAAACTAATTGTTGATGATATTATTAGAACTCCTGAAGAGCTTACAAAAGCTATGGATTGCTTAAAGAAAGAATTTGAGATGAAGGGCTTGAAAAGAACAAAGTTTTGCTTCGGATTGGAAATTGAATACTTGAGAAATGAAGATTTTTGTGTATCAAATAATTGATACAAGAAAAGCCTTAAAGTATTTTATATGGATAAATCATATCCATTATATACTTTGATAGTTGTGAGATTTGTGGAGGTGAATAAAGAACTTTATAAAAATAAAAAACATATAAGTATATGCCTAGAAGGCTATATGTATAATGTTTAATTTTTATCGGTCTTTAAATTTATCATGATTTGTGATAAACAAATTGTTATAAGAATTTGATATTGTGATATTGATAAATGTATGATATAAAACTAAATAGATCAAATAGACCCAAAAGTTACTAGTTATATTTTGTTTATTTATATCTTATTTATATGATTTGATTCAATATTAGTTTTGAATATTTTAAATGTATATAGTATGCTGATCAATATTGAAATGTTTTGAACGTTAAGTACTTTACTTTTAAAAGTTCATTTTAAATGTTCTCCATCATTTTTGTGTGTTTTCTATGTGTCTTGCAAGTTAAATCTATGATACTCATAATTATTTGTTATTATGTTAATAATATATTGAAATAGAGTTGTCTTTCATATTCCTCTTAAATTATATAGTTCCTGAAGAACTCGATGTAATAGTATTAATATAGTTCCAGAAGAACTAATACTGATTTTTCTTTATGAGCAGACAAAGTATTGATAGTGAAAAATATGACCCATAGATCTATATCACAGCTTTGGTTCTCCAAAGAGTGTAAATGTTATAGTATAATTGGATCAAAGTCCATAACTATATATGAACTAGGAAGTACTTAGGCTTCCAAGCAAAAGATAGGTTATTGGCTTTAACCTATTTTATGCTAGCAGCTATTTATGAAATATATGAATAAATGAATCATATTTGAATGACTCAATCTTGAGGGGAAAAACTATTGAAATACAAATATGAGTTGATATTGGATATATTTTTCATATCAATTTCATAAATGGATATCATCAATCATATATTATATTGAAAAGTTTATTATTGGTAACGAAACATGATACAGTAAACCAGAAGTTTACTGATATAATTAGATTTATTGTTGGCATGACTTGTTTAATCATCTTAAACTATATAATTATTGAAGATTATGTATTGATATCCATCGAAGAACCAGAAGATTCTTCCGAATAGCCAACATTTTAAGAATCCGTATGTGCTGCTTGTTCTCAAAGAAAATTTATTATAAAATATCACTAGTTATGTTTTGTTTTCGAATGGATCACTATATTTCTGGAAATATATATGGGTCCATTTAGAAGCACATAAGCCATACAAGTATTTAATATTTGATAGATGCATCTATATAAAATGGTAAGATGTGTGATTGATATTAATTTGCAACCTGAAGTTTGCAAGATTATTTAGATAAATATTTCCAGACTATGTGATTCTCAAAACTTGATTTCAAAGATGCTAGTGAATTTATATATCAGGCTTTTAATGTTGAAAAGCCTGCTTAACAAATTGATCTAGCAAAATCATTTGTTGATGCCTCCGTGAATAGCTTGATCAATATTTATGAGAACAAATTTTTCCATTTTAGTGTTGGCATATTTGATATATTGCAGCACTTATAGACATCAAGGCAACAAAATTCTCCCAATGAAATTGGCTTTTGGTCAGGAGCAAGATATTTCTATCTAAAGATTGAAATGTGCAATATTTATTCTTACCAATCTACCACAATGCACATAGATGGATATTTAAAGAAAGTTGGGACACATGTTGGGTAAGAACTTCCTTCTTCTTGTTTGTTTTTAAATGGAACAAAATAATGTTCCTAAAAGAAGCAAATGGATTTAGGAGACTTATACTACATAATTAGTTGACTGTTATTCGACAAAGTTTTCCTAACATGAGGGGGAGAAATTGAGTAGCTGGAAAAGAGAATGCATGGAATGCATTATTACTATTAAATATAGATCCTCAAATATATCAGTATGGACCAGAAGTTCATCAAAATTGCATTCATGAAACGCTACAAAGTATTTTACTGACCTGAATAAAAATTTTTTTAATCTCTTATTCCAGCTGAAAATGCTCCAATTATTTTGAATATTAAGACATGCCAGAAGCATGAGAGGTTAATCGGTTCCGATATAAATATCTTGAATAAAGAGGAGCATACAACTTAGAAGTTATATTGATGAGGCATGTACTCTAGAAGAGTGTCAAGACATAACTAATTGTAAAACTCCAGAAGAGGTTCAGGTACCTGAAAAGGAAGAAAGAGATCTCAACAAGTTATGTCACAAAAGAAAAAAATGGAACCGAAAAGGTAAAGTTGTCGACAATGATTTTCATAAGAATATCACATGATAAAAAGAGGATCTTACGTATAGATCTATCATACAAAGTATATATAAATTTGGCCAAGAAGAAAAGAAAAAGGGAAAAAATGTGATGCAAATGTTATTTCGATATGTGAAAATGGGCCTGTAGTCCCAGCATATATAAAGTTTCTATAAAATATATAGACATTTATGTGAAAATATAGATTTTCACAAATGATTATGATGAAACATATTACTTTGTAGTGGATATCATTTTGCATATTTGAACAGTCTAGCATTATGAAATGTGCCTGTTAGATGACCCCTGGATGAGGATCATTAAATAGTAAAATTTACATGATAATCCTTGAAGGATTCAAAAATATGCCAGGAGCATATATAAGAAAATCTTTCAGTATATAAAATATTATGAAGATTAAAATAATTTCAGTATGTATGATCCATTTTATAGTTTTGAATCAAAATATATGAAATTCCCTAAAGAATTTCACTTGCCAGAAGCATATAATTTAAGTTCTTGAGAACAAAGATTAAGTTAAATAAGTTGCCAGAAGCAATCAGGGTGTATGTGGTATAACCGACTAAGTAAATATCGGTTGAAGAAATGATATAAAAATGATCCAATTTGCCCATGTATTTTTATGAAAAGATCTGAAAGTGAGTTTACTATAATTGTTGATGATATTATTAGAACTCCTGAAGAGCTTACAAAAGCTATGGATTGCTTAAAGAAAGAATTTGAGATGAAGGGCTTGAAAAGAACAAAGTTTTGCTTCGGATTGGAAATTGAATACTTGAGAAATGAAGATTTTTGTGTATCAAATAATTGATACAAGAAAAGCCTTAAAGTATTTTATATGGATAAATCATATCCATTATATACTTTGATAGTTGTGAGATTTGTGGAGGTGAATAAAGAACTTTATATTTTTTGAGAAGGTGACGAAGAACTACTTGGTCCAGAAGTACCAAATCATAGATCCAGAAGTACTATATCATATCTTATCAGTCATGCATGACATCACTATATCATTTGCTGTTAACTTACTGGTAAGATATAGTTCTTTACCAAAACATTGGAATAGAATTCTAGATTCTTTTTTGATTTACATGCTGGTAATTCCAAATGGAGTATTTATCTCACAATATCCAAAAGATGGTGAAAGATATATCCAGCAAATTCATTCAAATAAAAATCTAGCAGATTTGTTCATCAAGTCACTTCCTATTACAATATTTGAAAAGTTTGTTCATGATATCGAATGTCACAGACTCAAGGATATCAATTGATGTTATCAAGATGGGGAGTTAATAAACGCTGTATTCCCTTGTCTATGGTTTTTTCCCATTGGGTTTTCCTAGCAAGGTTTTTAATGAGGCAGCATCAAATAGTGTATCAGTGAATGTGTACTCTTTTTCTTCTAC